TATCCTTGAAAATGTCCCAGGCGTCCTTGAGAAGATTGTATATTCTGTTGTTTTCTAATTGGTCTGTAAAGTTATATTGAATCCATCCCCTCTGTCATTTAAACCCATTATTCCCATGTTGATTTTCTGTCTGGGTGATCTGTCCATTGCTCTAGGGAGCAGTCATGCCCCCCTTCCTATTATTGTGCTGCTGTCTCTCTTTAGGTGTGTTACTACCTCGTGTCCCTATGTTGGGTGCATATTTGTTGATGAGTGAAATATCTTTGTTCAGTATTGATCTCTACCATATTGCAGTAGCTATCTTTGTCTCCGGTTGCCCTTTTTGTCTCAAAGTCTTATTTTCTTTGATAAGCATAGTATTTTCTGCCTTCTTTAAGGAACTCCCCTTTCCACAGGCCTGTATTATTGGGGGGAGAGGGAAATAGAAACCTCCCAAACAGTGCTCAGAAAGCCTAGAGGATTCACCAGTGATTCTTAGCCAAACAGGCAAGTGGTTCATTGCAAGGGCCTGATGGTATGGTGCTGCTGGGACGTCCAGGAATGCATCTCACAATGTTCTGGGGACTGTTGTAGTACCAGGAATTGAGCCTGGTTGTGTACATACACTTGAACTCTATACTAACCTCTCAACCCCAGCCATGAATTCCAAAGTTGGCTTTCAAAATGATTTTAGGATCCCTCTTATCAGAAGTTCGGAGAGCCCGGCAAGCTACCGAGAGTATTCGATGTGCCAGACACAGTAACAACAAAGTCTCCAATGGAGACGTTACTGGGCCCGCTCGAGCAAATCGATGATCAACGGGAGGGCCTTTACTTTTTTACTTTACTTATCAGAAGTGATCTAATGCAGGACTTCTTAAGCTTTTTTCCACTGGTAACCCCAGGTCTTTAAAATACGATGCAAATTATTTACTGATCCACAAAGCAAATTTTATTTTAAGACAAAATTGAAAGATTTCTCATGAGCAACTGCTTAAGAAACTAGTTTCTAAAGTTAAAAACATGCTCCCCCTGAATTCTCCCTTCCCATTATGACCTTATTAAAAAGCACTGTCTTTCTTAGGCATTTTAGCACAGAGCAGCATTCGAGGGGCTCCCAAGGTTAAAATTCCACCAGGGCTGTGCTTTCCGACTCCCTTTTTGCTTGCTCTGGTCTGGCTTAGATGACTGTGCATTAGTAATTGTCTTTTCTAGGGACAGAGCCTCTCTCACCCACTCTGTCTCTCTTGCAGCCTATAATTGTTAGAAGGGAAGATGATAAGTTAGCCAAGGGAGGAATGGGAAACCTCTGCCTCTTAACTGGCAGACTAAGTGGTTCTGCTTAGCTTTCCCCTGGGCATGTAAGAAAGTTAGCGAGGAGCCACCTCAAGGTCAGAGGCTTCTGTCCTTCGGGGCATACAGGATCTTCATCTTCGACAGGAATATGTCCCCGCTGTCTCCACAGGTGTGGTGACTGGCGCTGGAGAAAAGGCTGTAAAAGTGGATTTCATTCTCGGGGACTTGCTGGAATGGGGAGATCCTGGGAAGAGCTACTGAGGGGAGCTTAGCATCATGCCACTGATAAATCCCTACCCCCACCAGAGTATTGGCAGGACTTTACGTTTTGAGCCTAGAAAGATGTCCAAGGTGAGCCTCCTTGTGCTAAAGTCTGAAAGGGGAACACAGAAAAGTGTTTTTTAAAGTGATTCTATACATATCAAATCTTCTATAATTAAAAAAGAAAACCACCTAGTGAGGTGTATGGACTTAATAAGGTCTTCCTCATTAAACCAGAACTTACACGTAAAGAGTAACGAACTTTGTAGACTACCAAAGGTTCTTAGCACTAGAGGTGCAGTCAGGGTGATAAACTTAGGAATAGCAATGCTGGTCATGCTCATCACTAGAGTCTTAGCCCCACTCGCCTGTCCGGTGTACAGCAGAGGCCCAGCATGGGGACCACTGAGCAAGAAATGGGCCCGCAGCAGGAAGACAGAGCCCAAGAATAAACACAAATACAAATATCCCAGTGATTTTCCATGCCAGGGAGGAATTTTTGATCCCTTTCCAGAAGGTTCTCAGCAGTGGCCCCCTGCCAGGGGAGAACCAGGCTTACCGTAGAGTGCCAGCTGCTACCTAGAACTCTCTCCCTCTTTCTGACTTGGCAGGAAAAGCCCCTTTTGGCGTCCTGGGATCCCACAACACTGCCTGGGAACTTCAGGGATCCTGGAGGGTCGGCACAAGTGGCTGCTCCTCTCCAATGTCTAGAAAAGTCGGTGGCACCTGTGAGAGGCTCTTCCCTCCTCCTACCCCTACGCGCATTAGTACAGAGTTTTAGATTATGTGGCAGATGTTCGAAAGTCAGCAAAATCCAAGCAGATGATTCCAAAAAAAATCCTTCATTGCTGGACACTGCAGTGCTTGGAGCCTCTACCCTCTGCCCAGTGTCCTTGTTTACCGTGTCCTCCTCGCTGAATAGCTGAAATGCCTCCCGTGACACCTGCATTGGTTGGAGCCTTCCAAGGGGTGCTCAAGGGACTGGCATTCTGGCAGTCAGTGCTCGGGCCCTAGGAAGCAGCAGTCTAGGACCACACCAGTGATGCGCAGACGTCTGTGAGGTGCTGGGAATCAAAACTGTTTGGGTTCCTGCCCGCACCCAGAATCCTGGACTGTCTCCCTTTAAACTCGTGTATGTGCCCACATTAACTTGCTTTATGTAAAACAGTGCCTGACTGTCTTGGAGAGCTTTAAAGCACTGGGATTTGCCCCTGAAAATGTGGACTGAGTAGGCAGTCCGTTTCTTAGGCAATGGAGTTTTTCTTGCTTACAAACTCTCCAATTGATTCACTTCACCAGATTTGAGAACTAATGATTTAAATGTTTTCCACATTTTAAAAGAAGAATTTGTTCAGTTTTCAAGTATTCAAATATGAAATGTTTATTCTAAAGAATGAGTAAAGGGGTCAGAGAGATTGGGTACCTGGGTTTGAATCCCAGCACCTGATCAGAGCAGCATCGAGTTCTTGGGACCTTTCGTTGAACCAAGTTCAGGTCGGTCAGGAATCACTGGAGGGGACCCTGGATACCCTGAGCACCACTTGGGACAGCTCCCTCCCATAATAAGTTAAAATTTTTGGTTGGTTTTGAAGTACCATTTTCTTTCTATTACATCACGGATAGGGAAGTGATCACCAAAACTGCTAGTCATGTCTCTTCAGTGTCACGTGTCTGAATATCTTGGAGCCTCTTCAATCATCTGATCAGTCTTATTTTATTTTCAAGAAACCAAGTTTTATAGCACTAGACAGGGAATTTTTTTCAAACTCTCTGGAAGTTTTGCAGTTAATAATACTGGCTCAGTAAAATCTTACCTTGGTAGGAAGCATCATTACCCATTTGTGGTGAGAGATGGCAAATACCTTATCTCCTTTCCTCTATCCTTCCCACCAAGCTTGTTGCTGTAACTCATTCATTGAGCTCCAAAATTCATCCTTTGGTCCAAAGCTGAATGACTCAATTACATGCATGAATGCAAACAGTAATGATTGCATGATTAATTATATAATAAAACATGAGCAAAATGGATTCTAAACTAAGAGCATTTTTCTAGGTTAAATATTTTTAGGTGAATAAAAATATGAGAAAGTGAGGTTAGATCCTAAAGCACAAATTCACTTTATACATATCATTATGTGCTTATGTAAGTAATATCTGCCCATTGTAGAAAATAGGAATTGTACAGAAAAGCACAAAGAACCAAGTAAGTCACTGATATTCTATGTGCTGAAAAAGCAGCTTTTCCCCCCGAAAGATTTGCAAACATAACATCTTGCAACGTGCTTGAACTTCTATAATGAGTTCTTAAATACCCCAGAAATAAACTCTGCACTCAGGTGTATGATGGACAGGCTATAGTTCTACAAGGCCATAGCTAAGATGTAGACTGTCCAGTTCTAAGATGCATAAATTTGCTATTATAACTAGTGATTTTTAATGTTTTCTTGTCATGAGGAAATGAGCTTTTTTGGAAATCTGAAACCATTTTAGATGATGACAGCTGGCTAATATGCATCTGCCCCTTTTGGCCAATACAATGGGGATGCAGCTGTGTGGGGGAGCACATGCTATCCATGTGAGGAGCACTGGGGTCATCCCCAGCACCATGGGAAAAGAAGAAACAAAACAAACAGATAATTAGAATGCTTCATGGGGCAAAGAAAAGTACAGCAGGTAAGGCTCTTGCCTTATGTGTGTAGCTGGCCGGATTTGATTCTCAGGGCCTAAGTCCTGCCGTGTGGCCCCAAAGACCTCAAATTAAAAAGATTGCAAACTTGTCAAATTTAATGAATGGATCATGTGATCATCACTGCAGCCAATCATTCTGTTACCTGTCCACTGAGCTGGTGTGGCTAAGTTGAAGTCCTGGCCGCAGGCTCCTGTGTGCAGCCACCAGCTTTCGACCAACACAAGTGCACAGTGACCTGTAATTCAGAAACAGTTGCTGTTGAGTTGTGCACTGTCAAGCCCATGCACTTCCTGCTGCCAGAAATTCCAAATGCCTCTGGAATATGGGAATGCCTGATCCTTACCTGTACCACTTCTTAAGGCTCTGAGGATGCTTCTGGGATGATATCTGTCAAGGTGGTCCTGGATACTGCCTTCTGCTCAAGAGAAGGTTCTGGACAGTTTTATTTTTCTTTAGTAATTCTTGTTAATACTGCACACATTTATGCTTATTTGTCATCTCTTGCTATAATACTGAGAGATATATAACCAAGGCACTCCATATAGGATGTTTCTGAAAATTCAATCACTTTTTTGACTCTTTATGACTAAATTGTGTTTCATCATGTCTTTCCTTCTTAAATTATGTGAACTAGGTTTGCTAATGACCAATCAGCTAGCTACTGTTTATTGACTTGGAATCCTACAGCATTTTTGCTTCTTCAAATCCTCTGCGCAAAGCCCCATTAATGAGGCAGAAAGTAGTTAACTGTTTGGGTCTTCTCTTCGGTTTGCAGGGTGCTGGTTGTACAGCCCTGGTGGTAGCTGTGGTGGCAAGGAAGCTAGAACTTACCAAAGCAGAAAAACACGTGCACAACTTCATGATGGACACTCAGCTGACTAAGAGAGTAAGTGGTCACTACCCAGCATGGTACGTTTCTCATTATGGCTGCAATGGGCTTCCATTTTGACCTTCGAGGCTCAAACAAGATGATATTAATTTGTAAGACTGCCCTAACTTGAAATCATTTTTGCTTTTCTTTCTTCACATTTTAATAGAAGCCGATATCCAAGGTCGGTGAGAAATGGACCCATGATAATATTTCTTTTTGTTTTTGTAATTTTTTATGAAAGAAATGCCATTTACAAAGTTATTGATGATTGCATTTTAGGCATATAATATTTCAATACCAACCCCTCCACCAGTGTTCCCATGTTTCTTTACACCCCCCTTTGTCAACTTGACAGGAACATTACAAAGTTTCAGTGGCCTGCAGCTTAGATCTCATGGTTTCAGTGTTGTTGAATCTGTGTTTTGGATTTATGGCTGTATCAGTCACCCATTTCACCAGCATAACTGAAGCCCTGGTGGGAAGTAATGGGTGATAATATTTCTAATAGGTCAATTCTGTAGAATTATCAGAATGAACAAGAACATAAAAGTTGTGCATAAGATGTACTAAGATGAAAATTTTTAATGCCAGTTTAATAAGGTGAATGATTTTTGACAAAAGAATATACCCCGTGAAAACCATCTAGAATAAACATTTGTTCTGATAGTCAACAGGAGAAATAGTTTACAGCTGTTCTGAAATGTAAATGACTGTAAGGAAAATATCTTCTGAGCCTTTTATAAGGGACACAGTTCTAGCTATGTCTCTTAAAAGAAACAAGCAATTTCTGCAACATATGATTATTCATCGTGTACTAATTTCAAAAGCAACCATCAGATAAATATCCCCCCCATTATTATATTAACTATATAAAGAACAATGTTTGAAACAGAATGTACTACCATTAAGGAAGATTATCCTATTTAATTCCAAAACTTAAATCAGACTCTCCATAATTCAAATAGTACATCTGGTCAACCCCAATAAGAAGTACCACATTTTTCCAGTCCCAATACTAAACCTGATCGCAAAGAATTACAGCCACCCCTTCCATACTCTTCCCTCCCGAACCACAAAAATTATTATAAAGCATACTAACATTCACCTCTCACCAGACAGTGCAAACTACTAACAAATTTCAGATGACCGACCACCTTTGGAGATGGAGCAGTCAGTGGTCTGTCTTTTGGAGGTTTCTTATTTATCACTGTCTATTCAAATCTAAATCAAAAGATCTTTGAGCTTGGCCTCCAAATACTTTCACTTCAGAAACTGGGTAGGAAGCAATTTTGAAACTCCAGATACACATTTTTTAAAGTAGCTAGATGTACCACCAAGGATAATTATACATATTAATGTCCACTGTGGGTGTTTCCAATCCTGTTAAGAATCCTCAATATGATGCATAATAAGAACACTATTATGCAGTTATATAACTGTGTCTCCTGATCATCTGGGAACAAATGCATGGGAACAGGAGAGGATTTGCTCACCAGGCATTCGAACAACACAGAGATGAAGGTGCATAATTGTATGCATCTCCATTCCATCTCCATTTGCCTCCATTTCTCACTGGTCCCTGAACTGGATTGGGGGCGGGAGAGCTGGGACTAGAAACATACACACACACACACACACACACACACACACACACACACACACATGCCATCCCAGTGCAGGAACTGAGCGTTCTCAGACATCCCAGAGGCTTACACAAATACAGTGTCATGCTTACCTTGTCACTCACAGAGAGACTGTGCTGCATGCAGACCACTCCCTGGAGGAAGGCAGCCGTGTTTCCAGAAGGTGGGGCTCAGCTTTTGCGTCCATGGCAGAGATCTCGCCTGCATGCACAGCCTTTGCACAGCCTCCAGTGCGGCAGTCGTTTTCTCTTAATTGAGAGGCTCTCCAGGCTGCATTGAAGGAATATCCAGACAGGTACCTTCTGCACCAGCGTCTCTCTTGACAGGCATTTGAAGAGACCAGTCATTTTTTTACAAATGCCTTCAACTGATTGTTGTACCCAGAAAGAAAACTTGTCAGTATCTTGGAGAAGATTGACCCTCCACCAATTTTTGCTAAAATGAAAATGTATATATAAAAAGTACAGGACTCAGGACATGGCCCAAATGGCAGAACACCGAGGCTCTGGGTTTCATCCCAGGCATGGTAAGGCCACACACACACACACACACAGAGCCAAGAGGGGGGGTTTTGTTTGTTTTTTGTATAGTCCTAAATCTCTTATTGTCATTCAAAGGGCCGAAAAAGACATTGGTGATTAGAAAAGTAAGAGCTAGAGTCTTTCATGGTTAGCACATATCCTTGGCCTAATTTTTCCAAAGTCAAGAAATGTGGTTCCATCCCCTGCCCCAAATGGTCCTCTAAGCACATTAGAATGTCACAAATGAGAAGTAAGACACCCTCCCCTACACACACACACACACACACACACACACACACACACACACACACCTGTACCTCCCTGGCTTTTCAGCCAGGATCTTTGGAAATTATCAAGAAAACAAGTGATAGACTATCACCCATGACGTCCTTGTATCTCTAGTTGTTGAAGCTCTTGACAGAAGTCACCAGAACACTTTCCTCCTTCTGGTTGGCGCTGGCCGTATGAAACACACTCAGTACCCATCAGCAGAATCATGAGCACGCAGGCGCCAATTCATGAAAGTGTAGCATTGGCTAAGCCACTCTGGGAGGCCGGATGAGAGGGTGCCACATCCATGCAGTGACACGAGAATGGTCTGGCAGCCACAGCTTGAAAAGCAGGACTTCCCTGTAAAGGACAAGCTCTACTCTGATTTCCTGCCACTTTGCCCTTTTAGCCAATGAGTCACTACCTTGCTGTTCAACGTCCCTGTTTCTAGAGTGATCAAGGTAAGTTCAAAATCAGGAAAAACAATAAAATTTTTTTTTTGAGAATGAGTTACTGATCAGCATTGAGGATCGTCATGGAGATCAAGAGTATCAGCATGAAAACCCATTATTAACAGTATGATAAACCACAGAATCACAATCAATTAAAAAATTTTAATAAATAAAAAAATTAAAGAATATGAGTTCTGACCAAGTTACAAAGTATTCTGTTCTGGAATTTATCAACTGTTTTGTTTATTTTCTTAATAGGTGAAAAATGCAGCTGCCAATGTACTCAGGGAAACATGGCTAATTTACAAAAATACCAAGCTAGTAAAAAAAATAGATCATGCAAAAGTCAGAAAACACCAACGAAAATTCTTGCAAGCTATTCATCAGTAAGTACCCATTTTTTGGTCTGTTTTTTTTTATTTTTTTTCCCCACTAGTGCCACTTTGGTATCTCCATTACTATTCCTTTGAGAGGGAGAAAAAAGAAAGCCTCATCATCTTTGATCCTGGCAAATTTAAGTAATTACAAATGAAATCCTGAGATATAATTTTACTTTTTTTTGTACGAATAAAAATCATTAAGGTGGGGGGGGGGGCAAGAACAGTCATTTACTCCATCAGTTAGAATGTCTTTTCAGTTAAAAATGTATTTCTGAACTTAGACAACTGGCAATGAAATTTTTGAGTGTCTCTACTGAATGATCATTTTAGTCTCTATCTAGAACTTTACAGATAAGCATCAGTCTGGGCACTAGCAGTTGACTTAATGTTTAAGGTTGTTTGTTGTTGTTATTGTTTTAAGTTCATTTTGTCACCGAGGTGTGGAGGGATTTCCTCTATGCCATATATTCGTTACAATTTTATAGTTCCGATAGGGCTTGCATGCCTCAGTGTTTAGAGCCCGTTCTTCATGTGTTCGTTTCGTTGTGATACCATATGACTATCGTAGACTTCGGCAAGCGCAACTCTCACTAGTTAAGTTTCAGTGGTCCCTTTGAGAGCAGCGGGCCTTTCTCCCAGGCTCTGCCCTCCTGCAGAGGTAAGTATACTCACCCGGCATCCGTCCTGTTGCCCATGCTCCATGAGGGAAGCGCACACACGGTCCTGTTCGTGGGTGCGAGGAGGGCTGCTGTCAGACCTCCCATGGGGCAGCGACAGAAAGGTGGGTAATAGTAGGTCTCTGGGCTTCACTCCAAGCTTGTGACTACACAGTCAAGGAGGAAGCTCTGATTATATTTTGCGTATTTAGGTCATGCACTTGGGTTCTGCTCTGTCTTCAGAGGCCCACACCTTGCCCCATCCTATCCAGCTCCCCTTCTCCAATAGTATGAGGACCTGAGGTAGGACCGGGGGTTAAAGGCACTCTCACCTAGGAAGCATCCACCTCCAACTCAATCCCTGACACTGCCTTTGTCCCTCAAGTACCAGGTATGAGCTGCTGGTATGGCCCCCAACCAGAAAAAAACAAAAGAAGGACTTAGGTCAAAGCAATAATACAGCAAGTGTGGCATTGACCTTGCACATTCACCTTGTCTAGGTTCTATCCCTGGCACCACGTATGGTCCCCCAAGCACCAGCAGGAGTGATTCCTGATTGCAGAATCAGGAATAAGCCCTAAGCACTGCCAGGTATGACCCCAAAAGGCAAAGTGCATGACATAGTCTCAGTGTCTCTGAGTATAGAGTTCTGAAAGTCAAAACAGGGGCCCACTTGGGTCAGAGTAGCTGCCCTCCTTCCTGGCCTTTCTTCTAGAGCTCTGTGATTCCCCCAGATGGGAAACAGGAAAAGGGGGGACCTGGCAGGAATACAGCCTTCAGCCAGACACCCCAGAGCACACTGCTCCTCAGTACCCTCCGCCCACCCAGCTAGGGCCCATGCTCTACATCTCTCCACACACACCCCAAAAAACATACAAGAGATATGCATATTAGTCTGTGGGAAATCATTTTTTGGTGCTTTAAACGTTTCCATACTCACCTCTATTGTTGAAGGCTATTGAATACATAGAGTTAGTGAGACTATAAAGGGGATAAAACACTTGACTTATATGTAGCCAGTCCTGGTTCCTGGGCACTGAATATTGTTCCCTGAGAGCTGTCTGGTGTGCTCCCCCCCAAACCAAAAGAAAACAAAAAACTGAGGCCAGAGTGATAATACAGCAAGTTGGGGCCCTGGTCTTGCACATGGCCAGTCTGGGTTCTATCCCTGGCACCATGTATGGTCCCCCAAACACCAGTAGAAGTGATTGCTGATTGCAGAATCAGGAGTAAGCGCTGAGCACTACCAGGTGTAACCCAAAAACCATAACTAAAAATCAAAAGAGAACTTAACAGAGTGATTGGGCGGCCCCTTGAGAGCAGGCATGGGGTCTCTCTGTGGGCACTTCACATCCTATCTAATTCCCGCAGGACTGGAGTGTTTTCCTTTCTGTCGCTGTGACCTGTTAAATGTATAATTGAATGTGATTTGCCTCTAATGCATTTTCGTGTAACAACAACACAAAAGACATGCTTTGACAGCTTTTGTAATAAAATTCTGTAGCCGTATGTGGGAGTAGTGGGTATTTCTCTATTTCTCTGTCTCGTCAGGCAACTTAAGTTCAGAATACATTTTAGACTCAGAAACTTGGTGGGGCATTTGAGTGTCCCCTCGAATATCCTCTTACCTTTGCTGTAGGTTAGCCAGTTCTTCTGCTCAAAGGTTAGGGGAGAAAAATCATCCTTGGGTGGGAGGGAGTAAAATGGAGACATTCTCTGCCTCTCAGCGGTTGGCATAAGTGCTACCAAGACTGGTGACCCTGAGCCTCAGGTCGCTGCTTGGGGACAGAGTAACCACTGTGACTTTTCTGCTTCTTTCCCATGTCCCTCACTCTCCTCCTTCTGTAGCAGTGCACCCTTGAAAAGGCACTTCATGCAACTCAGCAATGTTCAGAACTTCCAGAGTTAATCTTATGTGGGGTGATGGGTGTCCTTTGAGGTGGGAGGGCTCTGAGATCTCTGTGGGTTGGGTCTGGGGGGGGCAGTGGGGACTGCTCTGATTTTGTGTGATTGTCTTTCGCTCGGAGGTAGCAAAGCCACCAAAGGAAGCACACAGGGGCTCGATTCCCAAGGACCAGGCCTGCACTGCCCAACTTCCAGGTCCAGCAGTCTGCCTCAGTGGTCAGCACTGGGCAAAAATCAGTTCTTGCAAGTAGAGGAAAAATGTGCAAATTCGTTGGCTAGAGCTCTCCTGGCCTCTCCTAGTCTCTGGTTTCTCCTGAGAGCCCTTTGTCCTCTCTCTCTCTCCTCCCCCCTTCTACCAGACACTCTCTCTCTCACTCGCTCTTGCAACTCTTCCTCTTGGTGAGGCTTCTTTAGTCTCTCCCCCACAGGAGACCGTTCTCGGCTCTGATGGAGGCAGAACTCCCCCCTACCACCACCAACAACAACAAGGACCTTTTTGTCCAATAACTTGTCTGGTCACTAAGTGCCAGGACACATTGGATTATTATGACCTTTCTCCCTTTTTCTGCTCGCTAGCTCGCCCCCTCAAAGCTTATCATTCTTCTGTCACAACTCTAGACCTATCCATCCACAGGCATTTGTCTTCAGCCTTCAAAGTCCAGTGAGCATCCTGTCCAAACACAAAACGCTCCAGAACCTAGTTTTCTGAAATCCATACACTGCCCTTGACTTCAGAAAGACTCATTCCCTGATCTCTGACCCCCCCCCCCAAAAAAAAACACCGGAATCCTGTTGTTTGGACCATCATCCCTTGAACCCTTCACATCAGGCCACAGTGCTTCCCAGAGCCCATGACAGCCCCTTCCTGACACGAAATGGCATGGATACAGAGGCCAAGATGGCAGTAGTCATGTTTTTCCGTCAGAACCTGAGTCCTGGGGGAAGAACTGGAGGGACGAGGACCTAATTGAATGGTAGTTTCTCTGACAATCTGCCAAATCCTGCAGACTCTTCTCAAGCTCTTCCAGCTGACGAATCGAGCCCCCGGTGCACCACCCCCCTTTTCCCCCCAACTCTATGCTATTTTGTTCCAGAATATTTTACAGTTTCTTTTCTTTTGTTTTGTCTTTTTATTTCAACAAAATGAAACTAGAGCTCGGAAGTAAGTTGTGTGAGCCGCTCCGTTCACCATTTGCGGAACTCTCTGCTGGCTGCATGCACCCAAGCGGATCCTTGATTTGTGACTTTTAGTAGTCTGGTTGCTGCTATGGAAATGTGATCCAAAAATCATTGATATTTTCCTGTGATAAGTGAAGTTCACCAGGAAGAAATCAACATACGTTTCTTATTCTTCTTTGGTGGGGGGGAGGGCGGGGGGAGTGGGGTGAAGTACAACACACATCTGCATGTGACCTTTTATTCTGGCAGCTGCAGCAGGATATTTTTTAGTTTATTTTCTCCTTCCTCCAATCCCCAGAGCAAGAAGGCAAGAGGACTGGAGTTCAGAGACAGAGAGGGATGCCAATCAGATAGAGCTACCCTGAGCTGAGTTTCAGAAGGAGCAGAAAAATCAAATGGGCAAAATTCTACTGTCAGACAAAATGACATCATCCCACAGTCAGGAGGGTCCTTTTGTTTGGAAGATAGAGCTCTCACCTCTTGGCCTTACCCCCAGAGTTACCATTTCCTCCGCAGTGGCTGGAGAGATAGTACAGCCTGCCTAGCCCACGGCCAACCTGGGTTTACTCCCCGGCATCCCATATGGTCCCTTGAGCATTCCTGGGTGTGGCCCCAAAACAAAACTGAAGATTTTTCTCTGCATTCCCAGATTGCTAGAAGCATCTGATCAGGTCTCCCCAGTCTTCACTCTGCCATGTGCTAATCCTTCAATTGGAAAAGACCCCTGGCTATGAGTAGCTGTCACAAAGAGCAATAAAATACATCGCTCCCAACCTACACAGGGCTGAGTTGACATCGATCCACAGTTCTGACCATGGCATCCGTGTCTACCCACAGGCTCTCGCCTACACAAAGCTCATGACTGAGATCCTGGCTCACTCTGTTCAAAAAGGAGAGACTACCAGGTGTGAGGACAGAAACACAGGATCCAAACAGCCTGGGCTATTTTTATAAGTCTTCGAAGTAAACTTAAGAAACGTCTCTCCATCTTTTCAGAGCATTTGTCAAATAATTGTTGTCATTACCACCGAGGCCTCTCAAGCCTTGCTTCAAGAAACTAAGGGTGGCGGGTGAGGGCTTAACAACCCCCCAGATCAGGAGGTCACATAACTGAAACCTTTGACAACCAAAGGTTTCTGAGCGCACCACAATCAAAAATTCAAAAACCCACCCCAAAATGAATCCCAGGGGTTTCTGGAAACACCTGTTTTGTATTTTGGGGGATGTAAGGGGGCGTGGAGCCCTGCTCCAAAAGCCTCTGTTGGGAGCAACATATACTTCAGGAACATGCTCTTGGGGCCAGAGTGATGGGACAGTTGGTAAGACCTTGCTTTGCACAAGGTCCACCTAAGCTTGCCATCCCATATAGTTTCCAAGCTCCACCAGGAGTAATCTCTAGACAATGCCATGTCTGGCCCCAAACTCCAACCTCAAAAATCACATTGTCTAATCCATTGCATTTCAGTTCATAAATGAGAAAACTAAAGGGCCAGTCTGAGCATGCTTGGCTGGAATCCATTTCACTTCTGCCCAGCGTAGGGCCCTTTAATAGGATAAACCCCACATTTGAGGTGGGTTTTATTGTTTTTAAGAGGCACACCTTCAAAGAATCTTAACTCCCAGAAGTTTAAAGCTACCATATATTTTCCTTAACTTAACCAGCTCCTTTAAAGATGAAATACACTCTAGTCTGGAAAACTGCTTATGTTTTGAAACATTTTTCAGACTAGAACATATTTCATCCCTAAAGGAGCCAGTCAAGTACCAAGCATGCTAACAGAAAAACTCAGAGTCCTGTGAACACTTAGAACCTAGCAGGTCAGACTTTTGAAGATCAGGCTGTGGGAAGGTGTCACCAGAACATGGGCAAAAGAAACTCCCCACCCCCTCTTCAACTGAAGCACAGACGTGGTGCCAGGTTTCACAGCCTAATTTCAGGATAAAACCACCGAGCATAGGGAACACTTGTTACCAAAATTTTCCTGGCAGTAAAATCTTGCCCTGCACATTTTGATTCCATTGTTGTGATTTCCATCTTAATGGAGAAATAATGCTAGAGAGTACTTCGTGCAAGCAGTTTACCCAGAAAAGTTACTGCTCCTCCAAGCACTAGTTTAGATTCCTTTTTTCAGTAAGTAGTCTAGACAGATATGTCACTCTTTTAGAGCTGACTTTGAATTGTTGGCTTAAAAAGCAAAGAACTTTTGTTGGAAAATCTTTGGATTTTCTGGTTTGTTCAAACATAGCACTGAATGAATAAATAAATGCTTGTGAAAATATTGCCACCTAATCGTATTTTAAGGAACAGTAAGAATTTTCCATTTTTTAAAAAAAGTTTTTTAAAAAAATAAACAGTGACCTCTGACTGTGAAACATATGTAATGGATTTTCAAGTTTCCAAAAATAACTGAATAAGTAGAGATTCCTATATGCCAGATACTTTCATTATCCTCTAACTTTTATCTTCCATAAAAATGAAAGGAAAGTCTCCCAAGGAAAAACTTATAGTAAAAGCCAAGTGAAATATAATGAAGAATAAGAGAATTATGTTTTGAGTGACCTTGCTGCTGGTTGAATAAAAGTTTTCTTGTTGCTAATAAGAATCTCACTTATCACTGTGTTTCATCAGGTTCAAATGCCTAACCCAATCCATTTCAGACTAAACAGGGCTAATACCTGTATCTAGTCATGTAGGCATAGGAAGGCACTCTGTGCTCCAACATTGGTGAAACTCTTGTTGCTTTGCCTACTTCTTCCTATGTCTATTTGTCATGATACCGGGGCTTTAGAGGAATGTTTTGGCTTTCCTCATGTGGTTAAAGCCATATGAGCCTTTCTCAATTCAGCTTTACCTGGTAAAGGATGGTCCTTAAGGCCACTTCATTTCTTACTCTTTCTCCTTTTCTTTCTTTCTTTTTTTTTTTTTTTTTTGCCGTGTTGGGGAAGCATGCTTCTCATTGTAGCAGATACATAACCAGATTGGACTTTACCCCAAATAGTCAAGGCATTATCCATGCAGTTTTTTGCTCTTGTCAATTTTGTGCATGCTATTTGGAAGGCAACCGTAGCAAGGAAGGGACCTTTTTTTGACTTCTGATTTTGTCTCGTAGATTAAGAAGTGTAAAAATGGAGCAGAGGAAACTGAACGACCAAGCAAATACCTTGGTGGATTTGGCAAAGGTATGCTTGGGCTTCATGGCCTTTCAGATTTTGTTTGCTGGAATTAACCCCCGCACAACAACTAAGAATGTTCCAGAAGACCACTTGCAGCTGGTTTATAAGCCAAATCAACAAATCAACTTAAAATAGTGGTTTGACTATACAGAATTTTGCTGAAGCCCTTTTCCTGCACCCATTATCCAATCTTCATCCTAAAAGCTTACCTACTTGTGGTCATTTGGAACTACAACAGTAAGCAAATGAAATGGGAGATAAAGCACTTACGGTCCCTATTTGTAGTTCGGTTTCATTTCTTTAAGACCAAAACTATCTCTAGGTTTGTCCAAGAAGCTCAGGGCTAAACAGAACTAATCAATAAACCTAGTTTTTATATATTTGGTAAAGGTAAAGGTAAAGGCCCTCCCGTTGATCGTCGATTTGCTCGAGCGGGCCCAGTAACGTCTCCATTGGAGACTTTGTTGTTACTGTGTCTGGCATATCGAATACTCTCGGCAAACTTATTGAAAATTATATCTTAAAAGTGATCTCTCCAAAGACAAGGTCACCACTTTTTTTCTAATTTATGGTTAGGGCTGGAGCGATAGCACAGCGGGTAGGGCGTTTGCCTTACAAGCGGCCAACATGGCCGACCCGAGTTCGATTCCTCCACCCCTCTCGGAGAGCCCGGCAAGCTACCGAGAGTATTCGATATGCCAGACACAGTAACAACAAAGTCTCCAATGGAGACGTTACTGGGCCCGCTCGAGCAAATCGACGATCAACGGGAGGGCCTTTACCTTTACCTTTACCTTTATGGTTAAAAATCCTATCCCTTTTTTGAAAAGTACATAAGCAGCCTCAACCCTTTCAGAATATGAATATGTCAACAATCACAATCTTGCATTTTTCTGAGCTAATTTTAAAGGAGGTGGTAGAATAACCTTTCTGTAAGTGTTGAGCCTTTGAACACATTAACTTTGAAATAACCAACTCTCTTTGTTGACCAGAGCATCCTGTTGCTAATTTGATCAGTCAGCTTTTTTACCTGCACCAAAGGTTTTAGTAAAATCTACTTCAAATACACATTATCTGTCCTGGTCATGAAATAGAACATCTGATTATTCTAGTGTACATTGTCTTCTTATATAAATATGGTAACGGTGATGAATAGTTAATGGTTTACCCCAGAACAGGTAGCATGTGTTTAAGCTGAGTAGCATACATGGCTTGTGCATCATACCAAAGACAAATGTTAAAAAGAAATTGGATACTTTTCTGAAAAAAAAAACACATCAGTCCTCAAATACACACAGTTAACTTTACTCTGCGTAATACATACTAAAATTATATGTGTACATCAATGCAATATTTACATAATTTTTCTAGCTATGAAGAGAGATACTGTTTCCGTTAAGTGGTTCTCTCTCTGTTCTCTCTCTCTCTGTCTCTCTCTGTCTGTCTCTCTCTCTCTCTCTCTCTCTCTCTCTCTCTCTCTCTCTCACTCACTCAAGTCTAGGTGCTTTTGTGTGAAAGAGTAATTCCACTATTTTACCCATTGTTGTTTTATCATTAAGGGATCATTGGCTGGGGAAGAGCACAGATGCTCAAGGGAAAGGAGAAACCAAGAGGGCTGGGTTGCAGGGCTATGATTTGGAAAGGCCTCCTTGCCCTCTTCCCCACTCTCTGGCCTCATTGGTTCTGAGCTGATTCACTCAAAGTCAGCTTTCCCATTTCTTGACTGCTTATAGAACTGGAAGTCAAGGTCAAGAACACCCTCTGGTCTGAACAGCCAGTGGCAAGACTGACGAGGCCGTAAACACATTCACTCCCTTTCCAGTTTCAAGCCACTTAGCTCTGATTACTCCATCATCAACAACATGAATTGACAACCTCACCGCCCCTCCAGCTTTAAGCTCTTGGTGGTTTGACTACAAAAATGCTATTTGATGTGATAGCAAACCTATAATTTAGGACACAGAGTGGCCAAATATATTTAGAAATTTTTGCTTCACGTCAAGTGCCTAAATGACTGTTCAAATCAACCCATCCTAAACCTCACCCCTATTCTGCCTCCAGACTACCTGCTAACACCCCAACTCTGTATACACTATTTATTTTTCTTTGAATCTCCTGACTGAAAGTTAGCCTTGTCCTAACAATACTGAATGTTCAAATGATTGGGAAAATACCCAAAAGCACTGTGCTTAGCTCCACAGTACCTGCTCAATGGTTTCGACAACTGAGTCCCAGTGAATGTGTGGGATCTGATATTTCTAAATCCTGGCAGTGGCCAGACACTCACTTGGCCATGCAGTGAATGCCCTGTTAGCACACATCCCCCAAAGTGGGTCATGACCTGCGTGCAGAGAAAGGCTGGTTGGGCATCTAGCCCAGGCATGACTTACATTCATTGTGTTCACGCTCCCTCTTCTGTCCCATTTCTCAGACACAGAACATCATGTATGACATGATCTCTGACTTGAATGAAAGGAGTGAAGACTTTGAGAAGAGGATTGTTACCCTGGAGACCAAATTAGAAACTTTGATCGGGAGCATTCATGCCCTGCCTGGTCTCATCGGCCAGACGATCCGGCAGCAGCAGCGCGACTTCATTGAGGCCCAGATGGAGAACTACGACAAGCATGTCACCTACACCCCGGAGCGGTCCCGGTCCCCGTCCCGGCGGCGGCGGTCGTCCTCCACAGCGCCACCAACTTCATCAGAGAGTAGCTAGAAGAGAATCAGTTACCCACAGACTAAGACTTTTTGCCATCATATGGTCAATATTTTAGCTTTTATTGTAAAGCCCCTATGGTTCTAATCAGCGTTATCCGGGTTCTGATGTCAGAATTCTGGAAACCTGAACACTAAGTTTTAGGCCAAAATGAGTGAAAACTCTTTTTTTTTTCTTTCAGATGCACAGGGAATGCACCTATTATTGCTATATAGATTGTTCCTCCTGTAATTTCACTAACTTTTTATTCATGCACTTCAAACAAACTTTACTACTACATTATATGATATATAATAAAAAAAAAGTTAATTTCTGCACAGACTCGTTTGATCGCTTGCCATTTTTCAAGGTCCAATGACAGATGATCAGTCACCTGTTAATCTATTGATGGTTTTGATTTCCAAACTAGAAAGTGCCTTTCCATGGATCTAGGCCATCATTCCTAAAAGTTTCTCTCATAATGAAATTTTGGGATCACAGTCATTTAACTTGTTCCAGCTTACTATTCAAAAGACTTGGGCTAAGGGGGTTAGAGGATCTTACTTACATGTGGAAAATGATGCTTTTTTAAATAGCAAAATATATTTGTGTATATATATTTTAAACCTTTAAGTATATGTTTATTTAATAATATGTATTTAAACAAGGAGCACAAATGCTTTCAAGAATCTCACTCCCAATTTTCTTTTTCTGTCAATCTGCTAGTATCTGTATGCCAACTCACTAGACATGTCCACAGTGCTCCTGAGAGTATTAGGAACAAACATTGTGCTAAGGGATGACCCCTCTTGCTCTGTACTCCCTATTTTATGTAGAAAAGTCAACGGGATGTAGTGAAACTCAGGAACCTCAGTACTCATGTTCCGGGGAAAGGGAGAGGTGAGGGAGTATGGCACTGTTTCTCATGGAGGGAATTGTGTAGGCATGCTGCAAACACTCACCTCTTCAAAATGAACTTAAGATTCCACTGGCACTGTTGGTAGCTGCTAAAATGTTGAAGTAACCTGGGAACCCTTCACGTGGTTGTTAATGGTCTTCAAGACCCGAAAGAAGGACTGTAATGCAGCAGTATTACAATGCTTTGTTTAGACAGCTCTCAGCCCAACCCACAGGGACTGACTAAACCTAAAAATTACACCATTTTCAGACAAATATGCTTCTTCTGCCTTTTATTTATTTTATACCATTAATCATCCGCATCTCCTTCCCAATGCTTGGTATTGAAGGTTGCTGACATATCAAGTGCTTTAACTCCAAACCAGAGTTCATCGCATTGTACAAGAACCATTCTCCATAACTGATACAGAAATCAAGGCTATTCCTTCTGAGAGCCGACAGCTAGATTCAGCAGCTAGATTCACTTAGACTACCTGAGAATCGCCATTTACCACGTTTATCCCAAGTGGGTGCAAATAAGACTCACTCACTCACTAACTCACACATCTTTCCTATGACAAAAGTTCCTAACGAGGAGTGAGAAAAACCACAGGACTGTGCTGCTGAAGTCAATGAAGTCAGAAGTACTGCTTCATTGGGCTTTCTACATTCTGGATGAAAAGACAATGTTTTCCTTGTTTTAAGTTGCGTATCAGAATCTACAGAGAGGGGCTGAAGCAATAGTGCAGCAGGTAGGGCATTTGCCTTGCATGCGGCCAACCTGGGTTCAAGTCCCAGCATCCCATATGGTCTCCTGAGCACTGCCAGGAGTAATTCCTGAGTGCAGAGCCAGGAGTAATCCCTGTTTATCGCCTGTGTATCGCCAGGTGTGACCCAAAAAGCAAACAAAAAGTAAAAAGAATCTACTGAGAATTTGGTGTAAACATCGGATGTGAGAAATTTGGAGATTAATTTGGGGTTGCAATTGGTGTCATTAGTCCAAGTCTATCACACCACTGCGGTGACTAAAAGGCACAGTAGCAGATAATGAAGTTTCATTATTCTCTTACTGATCAATGAGCACCACCATCCCAGAGTGGAAGAGGAAGGCGAGAAAGAAAGGGAGAGAAGAATGCATCCATTGTTCCTCCCATTGAAGAAGACAATGTGGCTTTTAATTTAGATGAATTTAACTTATGTTTCTTCTCCTCTTTCTATTAAGGACAACCCTTCTAGTCTAGCAATCCCTTGTGCTCCAAAAACTCCATCACACATTTTCTGTCCCCCTCTGTTACAACTGGGAGGATTCAACCAAAGTAAGCTACCTGCTTTTCTGTGTTTTCCAAAACACCCTACAGAGGACAAAATGACCCATTGTCGTATCCATTGTCTGCATGTTACAGCACATTGCTTTGCAGATTGAATTCTCCTCTGTGGGCTTTGCGCGGAAGGCTGAGTCCTGGCTGCTCCTTTGTGTGGAAACAAGCTTCACTTTTATTTGCACTTTTCTTTTCAACATTTCTCAAGAACTGAATCTGTGGCACATCACCCTTTCACACCCTGGCCTTTCTCTCTGTCTCCAGCCAGGACAGGAGGGATTGACCGCTACCACATCATTTTGAATTACAATGCCATTTTCTTCATTTTCCATATGCATAACAGAACAGGGAGTTTATGGGAGAAAAAAACATTTTTCTGTGTTCTTACGGAAAATGAGGTTAACCTAAAAACACAGCAGAAGGTGGCATCCAGGAATTATCATTGGCTTTTCTCCTAATTTTCCTCCCCTTATAATTTTCCAAGAGACCTTTCATTTCAATCACCAAATAACTATGGTCCAAAACAGAATCTGGGAATTGGGAGAAGATGCTCATGGTAAGGGTGTCCAGGAATCTTTAGGAGGGGATTTCAAAGTCTACAGCCTTCCTACAACTCAACGCTGCACAATGTGAATGGTATGATAGAGAAATAGAATCAAGTAGTGTCAGACCAGGGCTTTCCATGTCAATGTTTCAATGGAGGGAGTCTTCTGAACCCCCTCTTCAATCCCTCTGGGGCCTCTTCTACTTTTGTCTCAAACAGAGGATGATAAAACACAACAGTTCTGCAAAGCATAGCATTTCTTTTACCAAATCATGATACCTACTTTTAATAACTCATTCTAGTATAGGCAAGAACAAGTAACTAGCCTCTGATCCACTTCTTGTATTGTAACTTTCAACACCTGGTGTTGCAGGTTATAAACTGCCCCCCCCCCATGCTAATTAAATTCCTAGATTAAGGTACTAGACTCTGGTACCTTGTTTTTTGGTTTTCTGCCCCCTTTTGGTGTGGGTGTCATACCTGGTGACACTTGGAGCTACTCTCATTTGCTCAGTGGTCACTTCCAGCCATGCTCTGGAGATCATGGTACCCAGGGATAGAACTTGGGCCCCCACAGTTAAAGCCTGATGCACCCCATCAAGTACCAGACTCTCTGGGTAAGGTTTTTGTTGATTTCTGAAAGACATCATTGAGGTTCTGTGTCTTAATTTGATTGGAAAGATCACTAGATAGGCATATGCTGGCTTTATAAGTGTGTTCTTGCCATCCCAGACATGTCTATGATATAGAAATGCAGTGTATTATTATGCCCAATGCTAAGAAAATGAGGCATGTGGTGAGATAATGCTAGTTAGGGCTTGATTCCTTTACAGAACCCATCTGCATGCCCTGCGGCCCTCTGCACACATCCCTGCTTGGGGGACACACACTGGCCCAATTACTATGTGTCCACCCTGAAGAGAATGAGATCCACAGGTCCTTTGACAACTCAAGTTCTCAGAGACAGTGTGAGCTGGAATCCCCACAATTGTGGGGTACCCCTGAGGATTGAGTCTCTGTCTTGCTGTCATCCAACCCAAGGGTTCCCAAAGCACATGTTTTTTCAGATTCCAAGGCCAAAAAAAGGAAGAGAAAACCCTGGTAAGGCTGGTTTCTAGGACTTTTGTTAAATATATTTTGAGTCAGTGAACCCAGAAATAGAAAATATCGATTTATGGTTTCTCAAATATTTTCCACTTCCATGTTTAGAAATAGTTTGAATTTGCTTCTCCTTGGTGGACACATGGCTTTTCTCTCTAGTTCATGCTCTGCCTCTGCTCTATGGTTCATGGTCACAGCTGACACAGGAGTGGGGGAGAGTGAGGAGAGGACCTTAGGAGGGCCGGCTGCAGATGCTGGCTGAGTTAGGTCCATGGGATCAGAACTTTCACAATTTCAGGCTCGGCTAAACATGGAGCCAGGGAAAGGTTGCTTCCCAGAGAGTGACTCTGAGGAATTATTTCTCCTCCACTTCTAATCTGCCTCCTTCCCTCTCTCGCTAAGTCACCTTTGTCTTCCTTGGCTTAAAACATGTATAGATATCTGGTTAGCCACTCCCTTCACTCAGGAATAGCTTGGGGCCTGTGGAAACCTAGTGTCTTCAGCCAGAGAGAAAGAAACTAACTGCTTCTTGTCAGCTACTCTAGGGATCAAGAGATGAGGCCACAGGACACACTGTGTGACAAACATTCTGAGGTCATCCTACTTGTCCCCTCTGCTGTCTTAGTGACCGTCATTCACACAGGCCAAAGCCTCGCTTGCTGAACATGGCAGAGGCCATCCAAGCAAGAGAGAGAGGGAGGGAGAAGTTGATACATGCATGAACTAGTAAAGCATTGGAGGAATAGTGGTCAGAAATGAAAGGAAGTGGGGGAAAAAAGCTATGATCATAAGAGATTATTAGACCACTATCAGATTGGAGAGACCACATAAAACAAAAGTTAGTAGTGACTTTTTTTTTCAAGAAAAACACTAATTAACAGAATTGCGGGGTGGAGCAATTGTACAGTGGGTAGGGCGTTTGCCTTGCACGCTGCCGACCCAGGTTTGATTCCCAGCATCCCATATGGTCCCCTGAGCAACGCCAGGTGTGATTCCTGAGTACAGGGCCAGGAGTAATTCCTGTGCATCGCTGGGTGTAGTGTGACCCAAAAAGAAAAAAAAAAAACAGAATTGGTCAAAGAACCAAACACTAATTAACAGAATTGGTCAAAGAACCAGCAGAAACATGAATGGAGAGATAGCCACTAAATAAATATAAATTTATTCCAATACAATTACCAAAAGAAAAAATACTTGAGAATGAAATCAGTGATTTCAATAGACCCAGCTTCACAGGTCATGAACCTCTGGTCCCTGCCACACCTCTTCAGGTAGATCCACCCCCAGGTCTCTCGGCTGACAACTCCAAGTCCTTTCTGAAAATTGGGGTAGATTCTCCTCCCTCTGTTCAGTCCCCAGCAGCCTCCATGGCCAACCTCCACCATTTCAACAGCTCCTGAACCCCTGCTTGCTGCTGCATCCTACTTAGTTACACTGGGTGCAGATGGACAGGGAAGGAAAAGAGCAGTCCCCACCCTAAT